ATGCAGGATCAAAATAAGCTCCTTGATATGTGCTTGAGAATGGCTTAGTCTCCGGTTAAACCCAGGTTTAAAGCCTAAAGCCCACTGCCAACATTAAGACAGAAAAAATAAAGTTCAGGTGCTTTTTTAGAATATTTGAATCAGGAAATTGTTGTTCTCTACTTAAATAAAAAAAACATTTAGTTTTTAAGATGTAAATGTATGACATGGATGCATAAACAACTGCATTTTATTTCACAGTTAAATGCTGTTTAAAGTAACGTATTATAATTGAAAATGTCTCCGTACCTTTACTGTTTATCCAGACGGCTCCTCTACAGCCTCCTTCTCTGCCCCTCTGCTCTTCCAGTCTTCCTGTGTTTCTGCACTGCTGCTTTCTACTTCGTAATTCGGTTTTGCTGGAATGCAAACAAGTAACGGTGCATTTATGTCACCAACTTGTATGGAGTTTGGAACTAAATGGCTGGATTATATGTTGTGTTTTTGCAATGCAACAAGCTGTCGTTTTTATAAATATGAAAATATTGGGATGCTTCACTGAAATAGTTTTTAAATTTTAACGAAATGTTGCTCTGTTTGATTTGTCGTTTTAGATTTCTTCTGACAGCTGATCCAATCGACGTTTCTTCGTTCCACTTATGAATCCGGTGCCATTTTGAAGGTTTGCAAGGAGAGTCCTTCACCAGAAACTACGTAAGTCATGTTACCGCATCAACTCTTTACTAATAATTCACAGCTGGTCCAACCCAGTAGTGGTTGCAGCTGTATAGATAAGGAAAGACATTCAATCTGAGAGTGAGCCGCACGGTCAGAATTTAAAACAGAAGGGAAATTTGATCAAATCTCTTGATGTTTATCTTTGTTCCAGCATTGGACCGCCTCCATTAAGGCGCAGCATTAAGCACCATGGGTGGTGCCGCGGTGGACATCGGAGCACCAGCTGTGAAGGCTCCAGATGGAGGATGGGGCTGGGCGGTGCTGGCCGGATGCTTTGTCATCACAGGCTTCTCCTATGCATTCCCTAAAGCAGTCAGCGTCTTCTTCAAAGAGCTGATCCGGGAGTTTGGTGTTGGATACAGCGACACGGCATGGATCTCATCCATCCTGCTGGCCATGCTCTATGGCACCGGTAGGCTGCTGCTTGTTTGCTCAATATCTGGAAAGATTGGAGTATCTTGAAATTAATTTAAATATCTGATTTTACTCAACTGGGGTTTGAAAATCTGACGCAGTTAAGCAGGAAATTAATTTCTCATTGTTCCATTCATTTACTACAGGGTTTCTAAAGCCACAGTTGGCAGCATTGCTGTCTTACAGCTAGGGCTGCACATTTAACTGCATTTCCAATATCACAATTTAGAAAAATGCAATTTTCAAATTGGAGATGCACTCAATTTTACTCACAATATATTTAATTCAGTTCAATTCAATTCAGTTTATTTCTATAGCGCCAATTCACAACACATGATCTCTAGGCTCTTTACAGTTCAGCAGATCATCAGATTGATTCAAAGTTTTCTATCTAAGGAAAACCAGCTGATTGCATCGACTCATTGAC